GCACTTAATAAAAATGTTCAAATATGTATACTATTTGCCAGATATAATATTAAGTACATAATATTGGATGTAAGGAATAATATGTGGTGTTTACATTGGCCTAGAAAAGAATCATAAGTTATTCCCAGTGATTTAAAGCTGCATTTATTTTCAACAGAATTAAGCTGTGCCGTCACGTTACTTTTATACCATTTATTAAAAGGCAGAACTGAACGCCTGGGAATCCATTCCCGAAGGAGCAAAAGGTGCATGCTACTGAGAAATATGACTGCCGCCGTGTTCGTGGAAATGCCTTAATGGGCTGTGAAACAGACGCTGGAATTTTTTGGTTTTATTGTTGATATTTTATTTAAAGGAATGTCAATGCCATTTAATCCCTTTCTTGGCACAATGCATTTTTATTCATTGCAGCGGGAGGCACATGTGTCTGAGTAATTTGGGATAACAGGACTCTTCAGAAGAGCAGGGCTCTGAGTCGGCAATGGAGAACAAGTCTCTCAAATCAATCTCTCCCACATTGATGTTTCTCTCCCTCTCTCCCTCGGCCTTCCTCCCTCCCTTCCACTCTCTAAGAAATCAATGGGAAAAATATCCTTGGGTGAGGGATTAAAAAAATAATAATAAAATAAAATCAATCACTAGCTGATGTGTGACTGAGCACAATGACGCCCCCACACGAGAAAGGAAGGGGGATTTCAGAATGAGGTGGCAGAGTTGACAGTAAGATATATGCATATTCCTGGAAATCCTTCAGAAAGACGGGATTCTGGAAACTTAAGGTTTGTAACAGACATACTTATGGGTTCAAATACAATTAAATGATGGGAAAAGATTTTTCCTTTTGTGAGACAGTACATGTTTTTTTTTAAAAAAATATATGTTTTTATTGAGTTCAGAGAGGAAGGGAGTGGATGAGCATCGATGAACCAGGAGGTCACGGTTTGATTCCCGGTCAGGGCACATGCCGGGTTGTGGGCTCGATCCCCAGTAGGGGGCATGCAAGAGGCAGCCGATCCATGATTCTCTCTCATCG